TATATGTGTGTGTGTGTGTGTGTACTTCTTTCCAGTTGCCACAGCCATATACACAGCTCTGCAGCTTGCCTTTCTGTTTTTTATTTTTATTTTTTGGTTTGTTTGTTTTTCCCTTGTGTGTCACATTCATTATCACATATGGGCCTGATAACAGGTTAGTAGAGAGTAGAGAGCAGCATTGAGACCAGTGAAAATGTTAGGGTGGTCACTTCTTTCTTATATCTCTTATTTATTTAGTCTCTCTCTCAAACTCAGTGTTGACTGCCTTTATGTTTGAGTCCTGCTTCAAGAGAAGAACAGTATTTTGTGGCTGCCTGTCGTGACATCCTGCTGGAAAAAGAGATAAAAATTGCGCATCAACACAGGTGTTGTATTTCCATCACTGCCAACTGAAGCCAGAGTCGATAAATAACTGTGATTACTGAAGAGTAATTTTACCTGGTAGTGAATGCTGATTAGAATCTTTCCCACTGAATAAAAAAAACAGATGTTAGTGGGTGTTATAGGGTTTTCAGTGCAGTAGAACAGGGGCTTAAGAAAACAGGGATTTCTTGTCTTGATCATTGCTGTTTGCAGGGTATTGTAAATTGAAGTGACAAAAATCGGTGCCTGGAATTGGGCCTGACGGCTCCCGACCCCGTCCTCCTTGTTTCTTCTAAAATGTCTTTTGTTGTCAATTCAGTATCTTAGGTTCAGCTGGCAGGTACTTAGAAAAACACTGGAGATAGGCAGAATCTGGTGCAATCGAGTTTATTGTGTTCACAGGCAACAACACAGACAAACTCACGAGTCAGCCTCCGGAGGATGACTGAAAATCTGCTTTCAGCGCTCTGGCTTATATGCTGGTGGAGGTCGAAGAGATCTCCACCCATTTCTGTAGTCCTTCCCATTTCGATCTGTTTTTACTGGTAGCAGACTTTTGCCTTTATTCCTGCTCAACTGGAATCTGCCACCAGTATTTCCGGAATCGCTCTCACTCTATTTTTTAAAAAACCATGTGATCTCTGGGGACTCACATGCTACAGTCCCTCGTGCTCTATTTTTGAAAAACCATGTGATCTCTGGGGACTCATATGCTACAGTCCCTCGTGATACAATCATTTGAGTGTGTGTGTGACCTTTTTCCCGTGTTATATAAACTCTTAAGTGCATTTAGGCAGTACAATCAAGTGAGTGTGCTATCTTCTTCACACAGCACGTGGCAACTTGTATGAGTGTCACTATAAGTTCACACCATCATGTGAGTGTAGGTTAGTGCATTATATCATTATACAGTGCGTGATAGGTTATGTGTGTCAATAAGAGTTCACAACTGAGATGTCACTAAGAGTTCACACCGTTATATTGCATATTACACATGAATGCAGGATTAGTTTTTGCAAACGTCTACACACTAACATGGTTATATAGCTATTTGTATCTTATCCAACTTATATGGTCTAACACCTGATGAGGGTTTTTTTACTTTTACACTACAGAATCTACCTAATGCCTTGTTGGTCAGCATTCCTGGGGGGCTCAAAAAAAACCTGGACCTTCTAGCTTGATGGTTGTTTTGTCTGCACTGGAAACATGCAGAATCTTTCCCCTACATTGCACATCCTGGGATCTACCTGACTGCAACCTCAAAATCCAGCCGCAGGGTGCAGTGTTGAGTCCCAGGTCTCAAGCACAATGGTGTTCAAGACCATTTCATCAATCAATTTTATTTATAAAGCCCAATATCACAAATAACAATTTGCCTCAGAGGGCTTTACAGCATATGACATCCCTCTGTCCTTTGGACCCTAAGCAGTAAGAAACGTCACATTTCCATCATCAGTAGCAAGCGCGATAAAATATGCTCTCATGCACATTATGTAATTTTACACGCACAGATATTAATTGTCTGGTATTAACTTTTCTGGGGCTGACCTGAAACAAACAAAATATGTTATGCACCTTTGCCATTAACAAAAACTATTTAACCAGGAACAATAAAAAAACAATAACATCTTATGTAGCTACTGAGACTTAATATTGCCCATTAGACATACCCCAAACGAATTACATTATATTTAACCACTATGAAATATCAGCAACGAATTTCAAAAGGACAGAGGCTGCTCTCGGTGAGGTAGCCTGAGTGCTCATAAACATGTGTTTATTATCTTTGAGCGCTGACACCGCTGTCATCTTGCGGGACCTTACATTCAAGTGGGCTCTATATCAATACATCGACCACGGGTTTGAAGTTTAAACTATGCATGAAAACACTACATTCCGTGACAAAAAACAGTAACATGTTGGTAATTACGACGAATTCAAGTTCATCAGTTCAAAGTCCACACAGTTTAATACATTTAGCATTATACTTGCGTTTGGCCATGTCATCCAGCTAGTTTGCTCTCTCTGTCAAGTAGCTGTCTGTTAATCACTCACTCTACAGCAGGAAACAGCACTTTAAAATAAAGGTCTGTGCGAGAAATTCACTGCGCTTAAAAGAGTGGGGTTTTTTTTGTTTTGTTTTTTTACAAACCTGACATGTTTGCAAGTCACTTGTGGTCCATTCAAAATGGACCTGCGACCCATTTTTAGACCGCAATCCATCACTTGGGAACCACTGATGCAAATAAACGGTCTCAATCTGCTTTTTGTTGTCGTTTCTGCCGTGTGTTTTTGCTGGCACACGGGAGCCCAGCAGAGTGGAGCAAAGACAGGGAAAAGAGAAGAGAGGAGCAGCAGAGAGTTGGGGAGTTGATGATGGCTACACTATGCATGAAAGTTTCACGTTTAAAAAAAAAAAAAAAAAAACACCAGCTGACCTAAAATAAAGGATCAGATTCCCTATATAACTCAATGTAGCCAATCCCAATCTGTTAAAAAAAAATACCTTGATCGGCCCCAATCCGGGGGTTAGGGTCCGGATCCAGATCGGATCGGGACGTCCATAATTAATTTAATTATAATTATGGTGTGACCATAATTAATGGTCAGCCGTTGGAATTCAATGCAGTGTTAGTATTGCAATGGTAATGAGGCTTCAGAACAAGCTAGGCATGTTTTCTTCTTAGCCCAGAATGAATGAATGAATGAATGAATCAATCAATCAATCAATCAATCAATTTTATTTATAAAGCCCAATATCACAAATCACAGTTTGCCTCACAGGGCTTTACAGCATACGACATCCCTCTGTCCTTAGGACCCTCGCAGCGGATAAGGAAAAACTCCAAACCCCAAAAAAACCCTTTAACAGGGAAAAAAATGGTAGAAACCTCAGGAAGAGCAACTAAGGAGAGATCCCTCTTCCAGGACGGACAGACGTGCAATAGATGTCGTACAGAACAGATCAACATAAAGCAGAGCAGAGTGGTGCAGAGTCAGGGGTAGGCTAGTTACCAAGCCGGTAAACAAGGGGGATGCATTTGCTTATCCTCTTTAACCCTCTTGCACTCCACCCCCATTTTGTGGCGAAAACGCCTAAAATGACATACCCAAATTAAAATGACTATAGCTTCTGAACCGCTCTGACTACATGCATGCATGAGGTCTTGCCAGAAACAAAACTCCCTAAAGTTTCTTGTGAAAGTGTTAGAAACACTCTAGGTGATACAGAGACAAAATAATGGGCCTCTGAAGTCAGTAAAAAGTTGAAGATTTTGCCTAAAAAAAAAAAAAAAAAGATTTTCATAAGGAATAACTGTCTGTGGCTTCATCTGAGCAGGTAAATGACACTGTGGGGCTGTAGGCACACTATCAATGAACATTTGTTTCAAATTTGAAGAAAATTGCTCTAAGTATGACCATTCTACAGTGTTTTTTCCATGAAAAGATCCATGAGGAGCTCCAAATCACAGAGCGCTCACTCCGCTTCAAAACAGTACTGTCAGTGATCAAACAACACTCAGCCAGCTTCAAACATTGTACCTTATTGAAATCAGGTGTGATTATGATTGCTGATGTTGTTTATGACACAGAAACACCATATAATATCACCAAATAAAGCCATATGAAACGTGAAAGTTATGATCCCACTTTCCAGGCGGTATATCTCAGCCAAAAATAGTGGTAGGAGTGAGACTCTTACCTTTTATAAAACAGCTATGTGCCCACTCACCGCTCCGCATGAGATCGCGAGTAATCCTTTATCTTTTCCCCTCAAAAAACGGCATGACATGTCACCACTCATCGCGATTTTGGACTCTATGTGTTTAGGCTGCTCTGGTGCGAAATCCATAAGAAATAACAGAAAAACGATGACAAATGGACAAACGGATTCAGGAAGCCGAAAGGTTACTGAATCCGGTGATACCAAACATCACATGGTTTGATGACGTAGTGCGCCTGTGAGATACCATTTAACAGAGGAGGGGTCCGTCCCAAGTCTCTTAAATTACTGCTAGTTATCTTACCTAGCCGACTTTGCTAGCTGTTTAGCCCCTCCCACCTAGGAAAAAATGCGAGGAGCTAGCGCTAGGAGCGACGAGTGAGCATTGTCGGTTTAAGAGACATGAGACGTCCTTTCCACTGAAGCGTCACGTGAAGCGACGTCCATTCCTGATGATGGCGGCACCGCTGGATCTGCTCCGTAAAGCAGCCAGCATCTGGCGTTACTATAGGTACATCCCAAGTCTCATTATATTCACTGACCAAAACAGTAGCCCCCACCCCCCGCCGTCATGACTCTGGTCACACACTTTTGCATGTATTACCATTGTTATTGAGTCATTTGTCGAAGTTGCAATTACAGAAAGGTCTGTAGCCCTGCTATTCCACTGTCACTGTGATGAGCATCATTATCATCATTATTATTATTATCATCATCATTATTATCACTATTAAGTACACTCGCCATCATTCAACAAGTCAGCTGCTGAGTGAATAAGACATTAGACCTGTCAGTCTGCCTCAATCAATCAGTTTTATTTATAAAGCCCAATATCACAAATCACAGTTTGCCTCACAGGGCTTTATAGTAAACGACATCCCTCTGTCCTTAGGACCCTCACAGTGGATAAGGAAAAACTCACCAAAAAACCCTTTAACGGGGAAAAAACGGTAGAAACCTCAGGAAGAGCAACTGAGGAGGGATCCCTCTTCCAGGACGGACAGACGTGCAATAGATGTCGTACAGAACAGATCAGCATGATAAATTAACAGTAATCCGGATGACACAATGAGACAGAGAGAGACAGAGAGAGAGAGAGATGCAGGACAGACGGTAATGACAGTAGCTTACAACAGCATTAATGAAAGTAATAATATTAATTAATATTAATATTAATAATTAATATTACCTACAGGCTATTAAACATTAATCCACTCACATGACATGCAGGACAATTAATGATAGGTAGATGTGTTTGTGTGTTTGTGTTTGTGTTTGTGTGTGCGTGGTGTTATATCAACACGTGTGGTTCTGGACATGTGCAGCTGCACATTTAACAGCCACACATCACCGACAGTCCGTTGAACAGCGCAACGGGTTGTGAATGAAATAAACTTAATTACAACATGACAGTCTTGCACGAAATATCATTAACGTTACTCTTTGTAGTCACGTAGGCATGTGAATTACAGCGTTTCATTGCAAAGAATGCATGTAACGGGTACACGCTGTTTCTCCGCCACCTCGTTCAAATGAGCCAGATGTAGAGGGTGGGTATTTATACGTCATGGCGTTCAGCTGAAAAACTCTTCCAGATAGGAAGCTCTCGACCATCCTAGCTCGTAGCTGCTTAAAGCTTGCTGCTAGCTCCTAGTGCTAGCTCCTCACTGCACAAATAAGAGACTTGGGACGGCCTAGAAGATGGCGGACCTCGAACAACTTCAGGTTCAAGCGAGGAGCTAGCAGTAGCACTATAAAAATAAGACACTTGGGACGGACCCGAGGAGGGGAGCGCGGACGCCGGCGTCCGAGGGGAGTTAGAGAGGTTAAATTACTGATATATTATCAATCATTATTAATCCACATGGGAAGGGGTATATAAACAGACCACACACCTCTTCTTGCTGATTTTGATAGGGAATTCTTAAAATCCTTTTTGGTGTAGGCCTACAGTAGCCTACTCATCACAGTATCATCCACCACTTTCAATAACAGCAAATGTCTCAAGCCAAGCATGTAGCATGCTATTAAAATAGATTATCATGTTATAGTGTAGGGGCCAAGGCAGATTTTGGTATCACTTAAAGGGACCAAACAATTTTGGTATTTCTGACTTCCTCTATGTCTCTAGTTTATATTTTCGTATGATGGACCTGCCTATGTAGTAGCTTAATCAATAAATTTGGATGATCTTAGGGTCCTCCCCAAAACTGAAAATAGTCAAAACTGAGGCTTCTCCGAAAGGGACAGTGTCTGCCTTATCACATGAATCTCGGGAAACAATTATCAGAATGTCACCAAATTTGGACTGAATGTTCACAGACAGTTGGTGCACACAATGCAGCAAAGATTTCATCAGTACCTTGCTCCTTTAAAAAATGTATACACCTAAACACACATGAATTACAGGCGGACATGGAATAAGGAATAAAAAATCCAAAAGGCATGTATATATGTGTTTGCCATTATTAATATAAATAAGCCAGTCACCCCAAAATTGCATTTATATGTGCCAAACAATGTCATCTTATTATAAACGTAGGTTATTAGATTATCAATCAATCAATCAATT